CCCCACCCCCACCCCACCCCACCCCCTAGTTAACACTCGCTCGTGCATTTGTGAATATCCAAGGCATTTTAGAACCCTGAATGGAATGTGGGAATGATTTTGTTACGTGAGGAAGGTCTCTTCAACAGTCGGCAAAGGGAAAATTTCTAACTCATCATGTGGTGGGTGGTGTATAGGACGTGCAGTGGTTAATTGTAGGGAAGTTGCAAGGTCACCTCACCTCCAATCACTATCATCTGATGCAAATTTGCATGGGAGTTGCCAGTAATTTTGGGTCTTTCTTTTTTTCAAATTTTATTAGCAAATTCGCGTCTTCGCATTTGACCTGACCCACAGCCTGATTTTTGTTTACACGCTTTTAGCCCCCAACATATTGAACCAGTTAAATTTGACTTTATTAAAGAACTTATTGTTTACAGAAATGGTTGGCCTACTTTAATGGCCCATTTAATGGTCAAAACGCGCTTCAATGCCGTTAATTGCGAAATTGAAATTTTCGCAGATGTCGTAATGTACTCCTTGTGCAAGCTGTAATGAGCGAACAGCTTTGGTTTAAAATAAAATAAAATATTTATTGCTTAGTAGCCGATGGTGACCTCTTACGGGTTCCCTTCGTGTTAACTAAGTGACGTATTACGCCTCTAACACACCCGGTGTCCTCGGTTAACAGATAAGATTTAAACAGGGTGAAAGATTGGTGATAATGAATGAAATCCTGAACTCTTGGAAGCCTTTTGAGACTCATACTTTTGTTGAGGCAAGATCTAGGCACTCTCAAGGCATGATGCCATTTTAAGAGAGAGGGAGGGGGTGGGGGAGGAGGAAGAGACGAGAATGCTTGCTATTATTGCATTTGCGAAGAGAGGGTGGTGGTGATTAAATGTTGTTTATTAAAGACTCCCAAATTACACAACTTTACTTACCAGCCCCATTTAAAGGCCTTTCGATTGCCATAAAATGAACTGAACCATANGGGCGGGGGGGGGGGGGGGGGGGGGTGGAGTAAAGCCCAACCAGTTCTACAGTGCTTCATTTGTTTACTGCCTCATTGAAAGGGAAAGCTGTATTTTTTTCGTGGTGTGGACGGACATTCTAATTTGGGGCTAGGTCAAAGGAGTCGTGCATAGGTAGAGAACAAACTCATTTTTTTCGAAATAGTCCGGCAAAATTTGATCTTAAAATTCAAGTTGTGTGCCTTTCACTCCAGTTATTATTCAACTACAACATGTTCTAGCGGTTCAATGGCCGAATTCAGTTATTTGTTTCTCGGCTCGATTCGTATTCTTGCATCAAAATTGTATTGTTTCGTTGACTAATTTGAGTGTATTAATTTCTATGGGCGAAGACATTATTCTTTCAAATGGCAGGCGTTTTCAATAGTTATCATTAGCCATCTAGCCGACTTCGGGCTTCACAGAGGGGAGAGGAACATCAAAGTGAGAAAAATTCGAGAGGAGGAACGAAGGAGTGATTCACAGATGTAGAGGAGACAGACAGATACAAAGGCAGAGAAAAGATAAGATGAGTACTGTGGAAGTGGTGGAATATGACATAGAGTGGGTTCATGGTAGTTTGAAGTTAGAAGTCAACTGCCGGTTTATAGACTTTTGCCGTATGAGAATACGTTGCCCAGGGTGCACCACGTGGAGGTAAGTCTATCTCACGCCCCACACATCCTAATATAGATGTCATAATTTTAACACATCAGGCATACCTATTCTCCTGACCAACACTGGTACTACTTACTTGTGAAGCCTGCAAGAGTAGAAATCTAGGGGCTATCAAGGAATGACATTGATAAGATGAAAGAGAGGGAGGGAGAGGGATCAGCGCGTATTTGGTAAATAAATTAATGAATATGTTGATAAAGTGCACATAAAATCGTTTTAATTACTACTTTTTTTGTTTGGCTGATCCGTTCACCCCTATAAATGGAATAGTAAATAGTGAGATGGCAATATATTGATTTGAGGTTTTAGCGATTGCACAAATGTGCACGCAGCATGGCGATTAATGCGCTCATCTGAAAAGTTAGAAGCCATCAGTTTGTTGCTCATCAGTGGACGCAGTGGACAGAATTGCCATCGGCGTTGATTCAGCTTGACCAATAAGATGAGTGCTAGAATTCAATTCCATAAAAAGAGCATTTTTGTGGTGTTGACGATCACTCCAAGATGAGTTCTTTAAAGCACTATCCTAACTTGGTCTAATTTGTCATTTTGGGATCTAAAATCAATCCAAATACTTGTCAGACTCGAGGTAACCTATAGCAATCTGTAACCCACTTGCTGCCTTAAACCCACTCTATTCTAAAATTTTGTTGAGAAAGACGAGATGTGACCATTGACGATGCTTGATAGTCAGGGGTGGTGAATCTAGTATCACTAAAACGCAACTGGATCAATTATCACCCCTATGACTTGTTTTGTCTTCCAAGTAATTGTGCAATATGTTGCTTTAGGGCTGTTTGTAGAGGTTTCGAATCGCCCACTGCTCATGTTTACCGACCTCTTATTGCCAAGTTGGTGATTCCCGGCACTGGAAGCCTCTTTTACTACCCCCGTAAAATCAATAATAAATTTAATTAACGCCGATAAGATCCTAACTTATCTTGAAACCAAGTTGTGCAATAATTTGGCATAATCGTGGATTATGTAATTCCCAGGCAATTTAGTGCATTCCGTACGCGCGTATCCACTGCACTCTGTACTAAATCACAACTTATCATGTCACCTCACCTCTCCACTCTCTCTCTCTCTCTCTCTCTCTCTCTCTGTATTTCCATAATCTCGGCAATCATTCATTCATTGAAAGGGGGAGGAAAGGCCTGATGGTATCATCATCATCATCGTCATTATTATTATTAACCCTCTACTTCGTCTTCGCGTTATCCCTACCTCCTTTTTTGCGCACGCATTTGTGGCTCTCAGTAACACCAGTTCACCCTGGATCCCCAGTCCTCTTATCTGATAGATGCGCGCCTCATGCTTGTTGTTGTGTTGGTTGGTGGGAGAGAAAGGAGGCCAGAGTGGATAGTTTATTTCACCTCTGCTTGCCTCTCGCTTGGCCCCTCGATGCATAAATCGAGAAGGATGGGAAAATTTACTTTACGTGGGGGGAGGGATACATTAAGCCCCTTTGCGTAGCCTGCAGCTACTGTCACTATTTCTACTGTTGTTTAATTGCAATTTTAAAGTTATGAGGGAATGAGGTGTGAGTGGATTTATTTATATCAAATGGCAGGCTTTATGACAGCTATCATTAGCCCTTTAGCTGACTTCGTGCTTCACACTAGGGAGGATCATCAAAGTCACAAAAAGTCGATAGGGGTAAGAGAAAAGAGGCTGACACAAAGGTAGAGAAAAGAGACAAGACGAGTACTGTGGAAGTGGTGGAATATGAGATACAGTGGGGTCATGGTAGTTTGAAGTGGGAAGTCAACTATCGGTATATTGACTTTTGCCGTATGAGTATACGTTGCCCAGGGTGCACCACGTGGAGGTAAGTCTATCGCACTCCCCATGTGTGAAAGGATAAGAATTAAGCATTTTTAATAATCAACTTCCCACTCGTAGAATTCGCCTTAAAAGCTATTGTGGCATATTAATCGGTCATTGTCATGCTGGTCTTAAAATTTCATAAGTGACTTGAATATCCTTGACTTTTTCTGTCATCACTTATCTCTTTTGCCTTCCTAAAGAGTTGTAATTAGCTCGATGTAGTCATGTTAAGCCTTGTTCTCTGTGCGATCTTCGGGGTTACCGCAAGCAGTGCCCTAAATACGTTTCGAGGAGAGAGTGGACTTAATATTTTGGATCTTCAGTGCCACTCCGAGATATAATCGTCAAAGTATGTCGTGGATTTTACATGTAAATTTGTTGCGATGGGATTATATACGGTGTTCGGGGATGAATTTGACAATCATCGGGGGAGGTTGGGGGGGGGGAGGAAATCGCATAGGGTAAGGACAAAATTAAGCAGATTTAAATGAAAATATAGACGAGAAAATCGTGCTTTTGCAAATGCGTTCTACTCCACCATTAACTACCATTAATGTTCAATGCAGCCTCCATTTAGTTGGACTACATAATTTGGAGCAAGTCAATTTTGCAAATACCCTGGATAGATCGCAACAGACGCCTTAATATTGCTTATAAGTTAGTCTCACCCAACAACACCCCATCTGTGCTAGTCTATCGCAAATATTGCCTGACAATTATGTTAACTTTATTTCATTACATGTGGTGTGTGTGTGTGTGGGGGGGGGGAGGCGAACGAATCCTATTGCCGCTCTACACATGACCTATTATTGGCTGCCCTCTTTGTGCAGATCTTAACTTCGTAGGCATTTGAATTAGACTTAAGCCCCCCCCCCCTAGCCCCTCATTAAAACTATGTGGAGGGAGACATCGCGTCATCCTCAGAAGAGGAGAACCCACTTCCAAAATAGGTGTGCAGTCGAAGCCATCTCGAATTGCGCTTGTTATTGTTGTTCTTTGGATTTTGGCAAAAGTTCTTTTCATCAAGAAGGAACCAGTTTGCTTGGGCTTCAGCCGGATGTTTTACTTTGCCTAGAAATTTCTTCGCCTTGGTTAGGCTGTTTTTCTGAAACACTTGTGCGGGAAGTCGACCTCTAGGGCAGTAGGGAGGGTCTTTATTGACTGCAAGTTGCACGACAGATGCTGAAACATTAAGTGTTGTGCTAGTACAGTCAGTTCAGATGCTCTGTTATCTTGCTTTTTAGCCAAAATAGTTTCGTAGCCTCTTCTGTTCACACCAAATTCGTTTCGTATTGTTGATGAAGTATTGAGTAGTTGTCATAATGTTTCTTTCATTCTCTATCATCATCATCATCATCATCATCATGAACTTCATTTCCCTCCATGTTGCGGTCTCTATCATAGGTGTATGTCACAATTTGGTATAGTGAATTAGCATTTTGCAATCTTGTTGGTTACAAACTTAGGCAATAATCTCTGACGATTGCTGTACATATTAGAAAAAGAAGCCCTTTTCTATCGGAGAGTTTGCGATTTTTACTTCGGCTAAGTAATTTACTACACGCATTTTTTGGTTGTTGATGGTTATAGTTCAGAATTGAATTCATATACTTCAGGAGATTGAACAGAAGTGGCTCTAGATGTGGTTTACTAGTTTACAGAGGCCCTCAGAAGTGTTATTTCTGAAGACCCTTTCTTCCTCCTATTCTCTTCTGTCGAAGAAACATTTACTAAGGGGAGCTCAAAGCATTGTCATGACAAACCAACACTGGTCATCTTTTTTTATATCTATTGGATCGAAAGGCATTAGGATAGAATTCCTAACCATTCCACACTTATTTTCCTTTGTAGACTCTGGCAAATGAACCAGAGTACAAAGATCGTCAAGCAAAGGCCTCCGAGATGCTCTTCAACTTGTTGAAGTCGGAGCCGGAAGATGAATCGGACAGTCGAAGTGATGAAGTGCTCCCTGTTCCTGGTGAAATCTTTCAGTCCTCTTATGCTAAATCTCTCGTTGAACGTAAGTCTCGCATGGTATTCTACTTGTCCATTACCGTCATCCATTTATGCTTCCTTCATATTAGTTGATTAATAAAAGTGCAACCTGTGAAACGCCTGAAATAGTAGAGCCCCTTTCACATCAATTGCATCTTACTAACCGTCACATCGGTACACACAGAAATTTAATCATTACTTTATTGTCTTATATTCGTGAAGTCTTTCAAGAATTGCATATTAAATCATCGTTAATAATCGTCGTCTATCTCAGTCATTCTGCACTAGTTAAACTTTTCTTTAGATGAAAAATGGAATTTTTTATCCAAAAGTAATGAAATTATCAGTTTTGCTTATTTATTACTATTAATATAATATAACTATTTACAGATTTTGCATGATGTTAGAATGTACCAGAATAGTGGGTTGTCTCGTGGTAGGAATTTGAGTAAATAAGCCAAGTTTGCTTAATCCCTTGCTATTATTGATTTGAGCCTGTTTTGAAGGCCAATTGGGCTATGGCAATTAGGTATTTTGAAGTAATCTTACTCTCCTGGTTATGACTTATTCGATTTCATCACATTCAGTTAGATTACTTGGAATTTGCCATAATTCCTGTAATACCCCGCCACTGTATGGCTTCATGATTGAATACTGCAGCTTTTCATGGCCCTAGGACCTAACTCCCCCCCCCTCGAGGGGGGTTGAAAGAACTCCTTCTTATTCTTGACGAATGTTGTTTGATTGGCATATTGTTCTCAAGCACATCAAGTAAGCAGCGATGGTCCAAGATGCTAACCCTTTTTTGTATTTGACACTTAAATAAGTTTTTTTTTCCAACATCAAAAACACAACAGGCCTTCTAAAATAAAATAGTCTGCAAGCTTAGAACACCGAATCGTTTCTTCAGAGGCAATTTCTAACAAAGGCATATTTCAACTGAGTGTCACAGGTTTTTACTCACATAGCTCACAAATTGTTGATTCAAAGTTGTTGTGGTGAATGCTGAATTTCGTGAAATTCCCAAAAAAAACCAGGCCAAATTGTAAATAATTGAAACGTCTGGGCTTTGGAATCCTTGATAGCGTTCAACTCCTCTTTCAAGGCTCAATAAGCGAATTTAGTGATAAGGTTCATCATCATCTCTTCAGCTTCAGTAATGTCTATAAAATCCAATGTCTATAAATAAAACCCAATGAACCAAATTATAGCATGAACGTACATTGGAGGGTAAATCCTACTCGAAGTTGACGTCCTGGATCTAATTTGTTCAATAGTTGAGGATCTAGAGATTTATCGGCAAGGATTTTTTTTTATAATTTCATAGAATGAATCAGAAAGTCAATTTCGTTTTCAATTAAATCTGGTTTCAAGCAAGCCATTCATTTACCAATGCCATTGCTTGAAGCAGAGAATCAATAGCTATCATATAATATCTGTCACTAAATTAATGGACAACTTTCCTGGCTTCTGACTTCCGATTGGCCGTAATGAACTATCGTTTGCTCCTACACTAGGTACCCAGTTTTTAATTGTGGAAGTTGGTGTACACAACTCTTAATGGTTGTGATGGTGGAGTTATACGTCACTGAAACGAACTTTATTGATTTCCCAGGTAATGTATCTTTGTCTAGTTATCTCTCCCTCTCTCAAGTTTCTTTGTGGCTCCGTTTCTGTTACTCACTACTGCCTTCAAACGACCACCTCCCAGTCACTTAAGAAGGAGAGTAAAGGTGTGGGGTGATAGGCATGGAGCACCATCATCTCCTTCTCCCCCCGCCCCGCCCACAACTTCTTTCTTCCCATCTTTGTTCTCCCTCAACTACTTCCATGTTTGCCCTCCCGACTGCATACCCTTTTTACTGTATAACAAATCGATCGCATTAATTGATCGATCTTTGGCTTGAGTTTCTATCCATACGAGGTAGAATCACAAAGTTCTCAAAAAAGCCCCACGACTATAAATAGAACAGAGATTTACAAATGTTTACAAGCTCAAACCTGCCTTTAGAGCTTCCTTGACTTGAACGAGCTCTCGGTGAGCATGGTGGGTTCCGGAAGCCCTGGAGGAACAACAATTGGTTCAAAGAACTGAACTTTCTTTACCAACCTTGACAAAGATGGAAGCAAATGAGGATAATTTTTCAAGAGCTGTATTTCCGGAGATGAAACATAGATCTACTAATTTGATCTGGAAACAAAGTTCAATCAAAAGAATAACATCCACAGGAACATCTGGGCTTGTCAAGTTCAAAACTGAAAGATCTGTTGAGAGGGTCATGGCTACTAATTTTGGGTTCAAAGGGGTGATATTGATAGACTTTCTAGAGGGTTTGAAAACTTTCACATCAAGTTATTATGAAGATGTTTTGAAGAAGCTGAAGATATCCCTCACCACAAAACAGTGCTGGAATGTGAACGGTCAAATTTTGTTTCCTCAGGACAGTGCCTGTGCACATTCTTCAAGAGCTTTCATAGCCCTGTTGGGCTCATTTCAATGGGAAACACTCCAGTGTTCATCTTATACTCCAGCTCCAGCCCCTCCCACTCAGATTTCTTTTGTTTCCAAAAAACTGGAAGAATGTGCTGTCCATTTTGATATGCACCCTCTCTTGGTCTCCTGACCTTGCATAGAATGATCGGACAGTTTTACATAATCAAGAAAGCTCTAAGGACATGTTTGGGCTTGTAAACGTGTGTAAATCTTTGTTCTATTTAAAGTCATGGGTATTGCCTGAGAACTTTTGACTCACCCTCTTTCCACGAAATGGGTGCCACATGAGTTGTGGACAATCATCTTGATAGGTACCTGAATTCCTATTCTCCGAGACCGAAATGACTACTGTGTTTCCACAAATCTATTTAGACTGTTACGTCAGTCTAAGTAGCATGTATGACCATTAATTGTGGATTTATACTGAATGCTTGTGAATGGGATCAAGGTATTCAGACGATTGGCTTTTATTGATTTTAACCACCTCTGAAAAGATGTGCTAATTTCTTTCAGTACATTTTACGAGATTTTCAATACCTGAATTCTTGTCTTGCCTGTGTAATTTTTGTCAGGTTAATTGATAATCCCACTCAAACTAACAAAACTTTTGTCCACTCCATATTTTCCGAATTTGCTTATTTGAAGTACATAACATAATGCGTAAAGGTTTAATTAGGGTATATGATTATCTAGCACCATTATCTAAAGCTCGGTTAACTAACGTCTACTTTAGTTTGATCTATTGTAAAGCCATATCGATACACACATACACACACACATGTATATATATATATATATACATATATAAAGCGAGGTTGTTTGGTGAACTTTGCAATGGCGGTTACAGCTGTTCTGACCCAAGGAGGCAATTCCACGGTTTCTCTTCGTTTTTAATTCGAAAGTACATCTGTTTACATGTAACTTGGACTAAGGGGTTAGAGTAGATGTAGGTCTAATTAGTAATTAACCGATGAGGATGCTTCACTCCAAACGGTGGGCATTGGAGAAGGACAATTGAAACATAGTATGTGCGAGGAATGAATTCTGGTTGACGCACCGAAAATTTTCGATTTTGTCGCCTTTTATTGTATCAAAATTGTAGAACCGAATTAAAGTTCCTGTAGAGAGAGCGGTTGGAGAGAGTGCGTAAATTTAGTGCATTTGCTAGCGCGATTTCGGTGTACGTGCGTGTGTGTGTGAACAAGACGACAAAATGTGTTGTCCGAAATCTGGTCTAGATTGTCTGGATTTTGTTTGAAATATAACCCAGCATTGTGTAGGCCTTGTGTCATTGTCTGCGCGTTTCGTCATCCCCAAAAGCTGCCGGCAGACTGTCTCTCCTATTCAAACAACCATGCCTCTGTTTTAAAAGACCATTTGCCTTATATGGACAATTTCCCCATTTATGGCTTATTAGGTTTATTACTATTTTGTAAGCTGAACAAGGTGGGACATGACTTTTGTGTCCTTCTTTAACTCCTACTCGAATAATTGACCCCTATTGGTTTAATCGTACTTCGAGTTGTTCGTATCTGTTGAAAATCATGATAGTTTCTATCTGGTGAGACAAATAATTATCATCATCAACTTTTCATTATTTAAACAAAAAATATGATAATAAGTTTTCTTTTAAACTCTGAAAAAATGTCCTCCCCTCTGAAGTTTTGAAACCGTTCAAAGAATGTATTTATCGAAAGAAAATTACCACCTAACCTCCATATTTACACGCTTTTTTAAACTCCCTAATATCTGTACGCCTTCATGTTTTGGCATATTCATGGAGTCAATTTTGATTTCTCTGATTTTGACACAATTGTGCTTACTGCCATTTCTCAGCGACGACAAAGCTTCGGGTTTAATTTTATTTTCATGACCTTAATTCGACCGATTGGCTAGGGAAATTTACATCTCAAATTTCGTTGGTTGAAATGTATCTCGTGGGATCATTAACTCTACGTGCAGTTCTTATATTATCGGTTACCCAATAGCCACTTCGCTTCTCATTATTCCTGAAAAATTGTTCAATTCCTTACATTCAATTAAACAAAGCGCATTAACTTGATGCATTGCATTGAATTTATTCTTTGTTTATTTTTAGTCAAATTATCGAATGTATTTGAGAAAGTAACTCTTCCAGACGGCTTTAATTTGGAGGATCTCCCTGTCTTATCCAAATTCATCTCCCATCCTGATGTCACCTTCCAAGACTACATGGGTCCACCGTTCCTGCTTGCTGTAAGTGCTTTTTTGACTATCAAAATATTGAGTGCTCATTAGTCAGGCCGTCAGGTTGATTTAGATAAATGAATCTTTCAGCATTAACGATTTCATAGGTAGGGAGTGGGACAAGTGTTGATTGTACACTTGTTCTTCAACCAAGCCCCCATCTCTGGTAATATCTAAAAGTATGTTACCCGTCTAGTCTAATGGCTGTGTAGAAATGTAAACATGGAACTAGTGTTGGTCATCTTTGTTCCTCTATTGAATCGTGTCTTTACTTTAAAATTGCAGGAATTCTCTTGGATGGAGGAGGGATCGCCTTTGGTCGACCATCTGGCTAGTACTCTTGGGTCCCTCTTTGATGAAGCTTTCAAAAACGCATTCGAGCTCACCTATAACACGTAACTACAGCTTACCTTATTGCTGTATTAGAGGTATCTTGGAATTTAATTTATGCCTGGGTGTTTATTTCTGTAGACTGAACGACTACTTTGAAGTGAACACGACCAGTTTGCGCCACAGTCTCTGGTTCTTTGTGCAGAGTGTGTTCGGTGCCTGCCACGAGGATATGCGCATTGAAAGAGTCCTCAAGCTCCTAACCCCTGAACAGCGTTGCTATCTCAAATCCTGTGCCAGTCGTCCTTTTGATCTGGTGGCATACCCGTCCACTATGGCTCGAGAGGTGTTCGCCGCACTGAGTCCATTTGAAGTTGTAAGTGATAATTTTGTAACATCATTCCTACTTAAATGCTATGAGTAGTTTTAATATTTATTTGATCTGACTTTAGATACACGTCCATATAATGATAATGGAGGCTAGAAAACAGACATGTCTTTCCTATGCTTTGCGAGCGATATCGCAGTGCCAGACGCGTCGATGATTGGCTCAATGGAGGAAAAAACCTTTCTTGACGCTACCCGGTTGCATTTTGCCTCGTTACTCACATTTCTTCTCGGTGACCCCCCCCCCGTTTCCTCTTCCCCATTTTTTCTCTGCTGTTCATATTTTTTACACTCACACATGCACAGCTTTGATCTAGTCCCCACTTCTCCTTTTTCACTCCTTTAAGGCAATTGCCGGGCCTAAAGCTGGCAATCCAGGTGAATTGGCTTCCGTTGTTTTTATTCTCTTCCTTTCCTCAGTCTTTTCTCATGCTTTCCAATTGAACTGCCTGCCTGCCGTTTCTACTACCACTACTAATTCTTTCAAAGCGAATCTGCGAGAGAGAGAGCTTAGATTTTCATTCTTCCGTGTCAGAAAGTCTTCGAGGCAGACATTTATGATTGTGCTTTTGCAAAATGAAGTAATGGCATTGATGCATATGGTTGACTGACTTCATTATTTTCCTATGCACATTAAACGATGTTAATGTTTGGTCTGCTAGTTCAGTCATTAAAAGTGACTAGATTGATTGGAAATGGAAAAAGCTACTCGACGTGTTGTAATAAGCAAAGAGAGAACAAAAAGTACTAAAATATTGGGTTGGCAACTAAGTCATTGCCGTTTTTGTTGACAGATTCACTCTATACTTTCTTTTGTTTTGTTAACGTGGCCAGAGCATCTAACCTATATTTTTTTCTTACTGTATGGGCTTCTAGGTTAATTAGTAAAAATTTTTTGTTTAGTTCTTTAGTTTTGTTTTTATCCCAATTTAAAAATGTAAGAACATTACGTGCACTTCCGACACATTTTATTGTATTACTTCCGAAAAGGCAAGAACGCATCGCAAGCACAAAAGAAGTTATGTGCCGTATATGGAGATGAAGCCTTAAAAGAAAGGCAGTGTCGAAATTGGTTTGAAAGATTTCGTTCCGGTGATTTTTCACTGAAAAATTCACAACGATCTGGCCACCCAGTCGAAGTGGATGAAACCCATACCAAGGCCATTATCGATTCAAATTGTCACAGCACAACACGAGATATTGCAGAGAAGCTCAATGTGTCGCATACATGCATTGAAAAAAAATGAAAAACCCTTGGTTATGTCAAGAAACTTGATTTATGGATCCCTCACCAGTTAAAGTAAATTCATTTGACGCAACGGATTAGCATCTGTGATTCGCCGCTACTGAAACGCAATGAGAATGATCCATTTCTGAAGAACCTAGTTACTGGCGACGAAAAGTGGATAATTTATAACAATGTTACTCGCAAGAGATCATGGGTGAAGCAAGATCAACCAGCCCAAACAGTATGAAAAGCAGCAGAGATTCACCAAAAAAAGATTATGCTGTCAGTCTGGTGGTGGGATCACAAAGGAATTTTGTATTTTGAACTCATGCCGCAGAACCAAACGATAAATTCAAATGTGTATGTTGAACAACTGGAAAAACTGAAGGATGCAATTGAAGATAAGCGGCCGGCATTATCAAATCGGCGGAAGGGTGTTGTTTTCCATCATGATAACGCAAGGCCCCACACATCTTTGGTTACTCGGCAAAAGTTATTGGAACTGGGTTGGGATGTTTTGTCACACCCACCCCATATATAGCCCTGACCTTGCGCCTTCGGATTACCATTTGTTTCGTTCCATGCAAAACTCTAAATGGTAAAATTTGTAACAACGCGGATGATGTCGGATCACACCTAATTCAGTTTTTTAATAGCAAAGACCAGACATTTTACGAACGTGGAATTTTTACTCTGCCAGAACGATGGAAAAAGGTCATCGACAAGAACGGCCAATATTTAATTGAAAAAAGTTATATTTTTAAACAAAAATTCCGAATTTGCCTTCTTATTTGAAATCGGCAATGACTTAGTTGCCAACCTAATAAAATTTGGCCACAAAGTGGCGTTTAAAATATCAAATTAAAAGACGGGAAAATATAATGATGCTAAGTAAAGGGCGTTTTAATTTCACTGATTTTGCTAAACTTTCGTGGACTTCAAGCTGGTGCACATCAGTTTCATCTTGACTAAAGAGATCATATTGATATTCTGAGTGGTATTTAAGATTCAGTACAGCACGACTTCGTTCCTTGAGTTAGGTTAGCACATTAATATTTATTTTTTCCATAAATCTTAATAGGTTCAATGACGACTGAATCGAAAGAATGGGGCTGTATTGCTTAATGTTAATTGTATTTATTTATACCAAATGGCAACCTTTATGATAGTTATCATTAGCCTTTAATTGACTTCGGGCTTCACAGATGGAAGGGACATCAAGGTCAAAAATGTCGAGAGGGGGAAACATAAGAGTGATCCATAGAGACAAACAGTCACAAAGGTAGGGAAAAAGGTAAGGTGAGTACTGTGTAAGTGGTGGGGTCACGGTAGCTTGAAGTGAGAGGTAAACTACTTGTTTATAGAATTTTTGCCGAATAAGTATACTTTGCCCAGAGTGCATCAAGTTAATCGCTAATCTCATGTTAATTATATACTTTTAAGGGTCAGAGTTAAAATATCCGTATTTAGGATGAGTGGGATCGTGTAGCTCTCCTGCCAATATGATAGAAGTTCTTCACCACGTGCGGGAAGCATGAAGTTGTGCCTATACCCTGTTTTGTTTAATAGTCTCATTGTCCGCCCGTGCTCGGTCTCAACCAATGGGTCTCTCATTGCAAATATGTCACCCAAGTTGGGGGTGCGCGATAGACTCACCTCCACGTGGTGCACCCTGGAGAGCGTATATTCATACAGCCAAAAATATTCTATTACTCGGTATTTGACTTCAAATTATTATGATTAGCTTGAAACAAGGCTCTAAGAGTAATCACCCTCGTCAGGTCTAATCACAACGTCCACAGATCCTCCAGTGGAATGCTGGAGGGATGTCACAGGACAAAAAGGTCCATACAGAGGTACAGAAAAGGCTACAAACCTATGATGTAGACATTTTCACAATTATGGAATCAGGAATGTCGCCGGACAAAAAGATCCAAGTACAGAAAATCCCTAAAGTGATGTAGACATTTTCACAATTATGGAAGCAAACCTTTCGGATGACAAACCTGAAGGACTGCCAATTTCCAGGCTATACCCTGTACAATCTACCTAAATACCGGCAAGTTGCAAGTGGAATTCTGACTGGAGTAAAAGAAGGCATTAAATCACATTACGATCTAATCGAGACTATGGGCTCGAAGCAAGACATATGCGAAATAATCGGATTAAATATTTGGAAATGTTAAAACCACTTCAAGATATATGCAGTCTACAATCCACCCCAGAATTGTCCCAACTTTGATTTTCTGAACATCCCACAAAAACTGTAGTATTAGGAGATTTCAACGCCCATTCCAACAGATGGGGCTACAAGGATACAAACATAGCTGGAAAAGAAATCGAAGACATACTAAACAGCAACCCACCGGAACTTATTTACAGCAGTGAGGATCCTGCTACATATCTGCATTACGTTGGAACCAGAACAACTCCTGACTTGCTCCTGGCTTCAAGCGACAACAGCGAGCATACACGCCGCAAAATAATTGATGATCCTGGTTATGGTCACAAACCAGTCATTGCTAGCATTACCATCGGCAGCAAAAACATGTCAAGAAAAGTGCCAACTAAGCTATCATGGAACTTCAAGAAGGCTGACTGGCCTAGATTCACAAACCTTTTGGAGAATGAACTTCACACAAGTCCCCTCAACTTCAACCAACATCCTGACAAACTTTGCAACGACATCACGAATATTATGATTATATGCGCAAAGAAAACTAGTCCCCGAGGCAAGACTAAACACTACCGAGTGTTTTGGTCTAGACACTTTGAGGAAGTGAACAGAAAGCGGGACGCCCTTCGCAACGCTACTGACCAGACTTGAAGAACGGAAGACGTAAAAGCCTGGAGACAACAATCAGCTGTCCTAAGGCAAGCCATCTTACAAGCTAAACGGACTTCCTTCAACAAGTTCATCTCAAATATCAACTATCCAAGTGATAGCCAACGCACTTTCAAATTCCTGGGTAACCTCCAAAATAACAGAGAAAGACCCAAGAAAGAACCAATACGCTTAAACAGCAAATTGCTTACCACCGACACCGAAATAGCTAACTGCTTTGCGAGGTTCTATTCCTACAAGCAAAAGAAACCCCTTTTGTCAGAAAATGTTCAAGAGATTTAAAGATACAAGTTAGAGAGTTGGGTGAAATTAAGGAAGACACGACAACACCAAATAGTGTACTTACTGAACCATTCCGACCTTGCGAACTTAATGCTGCGATAAAACAGCTCAGTGCAAGAAGTCTCCTGGCGAAGACGGTATTCATCCGGAATTTCTAATTATAATGGAACCAACAGCCAAGGAAACCATGCTGACGCTTTTCAACATAATCTTGGAGACCAGTCCCGTACCTAACGAATGGAAAGTTGCCATAGTAATACCAGTACTAAAAAGGGCAAATACCCTAGCAACTTTGGCAA